AGTTACACAAACAAATCATTTTGCTAACCAACCGCTATTATTTTGGGTTCAACAAAAGCAGGGACATTTTCTGAGAAGCAGAGGTGGGCAATGCCAAGCATTTGACGTGATTGTTGTGTAATATCGAGGATTTCCAAGTTAAAGTAGGAGTGTTACTCAACAGCACTTAAAATTCATTTGTCCTTGCTTGTGTTTCTGATGTCTCAGCTACATTCATCCCTTACATGTGTTTCTATATGGAAGTCCTATTTGTGCCCTGCTCATCTTAATCCCATATTCAGCTATTTTTGTGTTTCTTTCTGGTGCTGCTAATTTGTCTGTCCCTCCTGAGCTATGAGATGCCTACTCATTAAGATATCCAGCCAACAAGAAGAAAAAATATCTAGCTATTTTGGCACCAAGAGAATAGCAAACAGTTTAACATCCAGCTGATTCCAGAATTTAGTCACTGATCTCCCAAAAGTTGAATTGCTTGAAAATGTAGAGCTTGTTTGGGAGTTGTGTGACATTCAGTAGGTAAGGTGTGTAATTCCTCTATGGCTTAAAAATGAAGCCCTTGCAGTATATAGGCAGCTCTGCAAGGAACTTTTGTTCCTTGCAGAGCTGCCTATATACTAATAGAGCAAATCAAGCAAGCTCTGGTAACTGCCTTTGCAGTGGATTCTTTTGTGACTTTTGAAAGCTTCATGACATGGCAACTGCTACCTGGTGAAACAGTGGATGTGTTCCTGGTTGAACTTGGGAGGATTGCCTTGCTTGTTGGGGAGGCACCCTCACCCCCACTGAAAAATGGATGACATGTGCCTTTTTGCCGGAATGCAAAGTCATGTGTACTGCAAACAAAATAGAAGAACCAGATTTCAGTGCCAAATTTGATGAAAAGACCATGGTGTGTACAGCCTCATGGGAGTGCTCAAGTGACCAACCACCCAATAAATTGACAAAAAGGAATCTGAATATCCAGTGTCTACTCACCGAATATCAGTATGAGCTGCAGAAGCTGGATAATGGATGGCTGCTTTTTGCTGAGAAGGAATTTGGTCCTCGAAAGGTCCTGATTCTGTCAATGAGATTCTTTCAGCAAAATAAGACTAAGGTCCGCACTGTATTAGACTTTCATGAACTGACATACATAGCCCATACTGACATCTCTGCACAAAACTGAGTGGTGAAAAAAGGGCTCCAACATTTCAGTGCTTGATATTTGAAAGGTTTACATACATGTGCATGTGCACTGATCCTTGTGGCCATATCAAACTGTGATTATCGAGGAAAGAAGATAATGCTTGACATGCATGGGCTTTGGATTCAATGTGGCACAATTTATTATGCGAGTTACTATGGATGCTGTATCATCAAAGGATGAGGTCATCCAGAGAGCAACATCAGTGTACATTGATGATATTTACATCAATAAGAATATAGTATCTGCAGCCAGCATAAAACAACAACTTTGGGCTGGTGAGCAAGCAACCAGAATGACTGCAGGACAGCATGCGAATGCTTGGCTTGCAAATCTGGTGGGGAGTATAACTGTGCAGAAAGCTGGTTGAGCATTTCCCAGTGGGTGGATGACTTAGGGTAACAACAGCATTCATTTAGAAGAGAGCAGCAGCAGTTACAACCAGTTGAGATGATGATGCTCCTCTATATTGATAAAAGTGGTTACTGCAAGAATGCACATGGAGGACCCCATGTGAGGTATGTGGTGCGTTGATGGACCCAAGCTCGACGTGTGTGTTGATACAAGCTTTCTGGCCACTGGATCCTCACTAGGCATAATTGAGCTACTGAGGAGGATGGATGTTGGTTGTGCAAAGACATACAACAAACAAATTTAGCAGAGCTTAATATGAGAAGCAACAGTGTTGTACATCTTTACTGTCTCTGTAAAAAGCAAGAATGAATCTGGCATGAACCTTGGTATGTTTGTGTTTGAAGAAATAAAATAATGACCAGCTCCCCCACAAAATTATTAGTTATGTAAATAATTTGTTTTGCTAGCCAATCACTAATGGCTTAGGCTTAATAAAAACCAGCACATGTTCTGAGAAGCAGCAGTGGGCAGTGCTGAGTGTATAATGTGATTGCCATGCGATACTGAGAATTTCTGTCCATGTTAAAGTAGGAGTGTTACCCAGCATCACCTGAAATTCATTCATCCTATGTCCCATCTATGTTTGTCCCTAATGTGTGGTCTTTCTATGTCTTTCTTTAATGCCATATTCAGCATTTTTGTGTTTGTTCTCGATGCTGCTAATTTTTATGTCCCTCCCAAGTTGTGAGTTGTCTATTCATTACAGATACCCAACCAATAAGAAAAACCATCAGAAGATTAAGAATATCAATTCAAGGGGTGCCTTGAAGAAAGTCACAATATGAATCTCAATCAATACACTGGTGACAGAAGGAAGTCTTATGAATAGGAGGTTCCTATCTAATAAACAACTCTAAATATCAACAGATACTACAGCATGATCCAAATTGCCAACAGAATTGTGATGCTCAACAAGGCCTAGGAGAGAAGGCAAAGAACAAACCAAATAAAGAAGCATGTTGCTCAAAATTATTAGGGAAATATGTAAGAAAATCCACTATTTGAGTAAGAGACTGAGCAAAGGAAAATTTCAAAGTCTGAATACAAGTAACATCAGTAACATTGGAATGATTAAACCACTTGACATAACACAGCATGATGTTAATACTTAATGATTTAATACTTGCATATGACTTTTTAAAATATTTTAACACCAAGTCCATTCTAGAAAAGTGAGGTTTTTGTTTTAAGCTGCAACTGATTTTCATGCTGAGTCAGACAACAGTTACTTAGAGATCAAACAAATTGAATGATTTTTATGAACAGTGTGCTTTTCAATCACAGTATAAGTAAATCCGTTAGTTAAACAGGAATTTTTAGCAAAAGAAAAATAAATAAAGGTCAATTTAGGAACTAAGTCTATTAATTTTCTTTTTTTGGTACTTAAAATCAATACAACTAGTTCAATGTGTCACATTACACACTACACTACAAGGGTCATATGGTGTAAAAGTTCATTTTATTATAAAAACAAATAACATTCACGTTACCAAAAACAAATTTATTGATATTTATAAAGGCCAAACAAAGGATACTCTTAGTTAGAATAGAATATGCAATGTAAGTTCAGTTAAAAATAAAAATAAAGAGAAAATAGCAAAGTGCAAAGCAATACAAAAAAATTAAAGCAAAATAATTTACTAAGAAAAAAAAAAGCATTTTTTCGTAGAGAAGCGTGAATGAAATCTGGTTTTTATTAACTATGGTTAAATAAACTAAATGTCATTTTTAGAATATTTATAAGCAGTCACTTGAAACTTTCTGAATTTGTATTATTATTGAAATCCTTTTGTTTTTTAATTACTGGAACAAAAAGGCAGATATGGAAAAGATTTTTTTTTTTGGCAACATTTCTTACAGGGTCCAGAATTGATCGATATTGGCCACTTTTTCGTCTAAATGCTGTACTTATTTGCATTTAAGAGCTAAAGTTAAAAAAAAAGTTAAATGAATTCAAAGGGGAGAGAGAGACCCAACTACTGCAATACCGCGGTTCCTCTCTTAATTGAAATGAATTCCTTTAAAAAAAAAAAGAGAGAGAGAGAGGAAAATACTGATTATCAATTATCTACCTAAGTAAAGAATTGAACAAAAAACAAAACATGTTTATCATAAAATAACAAAGTAAAATCTTGAAGTAAAGAGAAAAGAATTTCTTTAGTGCATTGAGCATTATCATTCAAACTCAGACACATTCAATTCTGGTAAGCAGTAAGATTTGCAATGCAGACAGTAAAAAAAGAAAATAATAATAGTAATATTGAGATTGTACACGACATAATTTTAAGAATTTTCTCTAGTGAATTAGTCGAAAGTTCAGTTCTTTTGAGAAATTTTACCAAATGTCACCGACAAAAATTCGTATGTAGACAGTAGGTATTTTTCCTCACATCTTCAATAACTTTTCACTACCTTTTGATTTGACTAACTATGAATATTTTTTCATAAGGTCAAGTATTAAAGTAAAATAAAGCCTTTCTATCGGTTTTTAATGTTTGTTACCTTGGGCATTTTGTAATTGTGGACGTTATTTACGAAAGTGAAAAATACATTTAACACCGGCAACTTTATTTGTTTTAAAACTAAATCTCATAAGTTAAGTAGATTTCAAAATTTAAAGACGTGCAATTGTGATTCAATTTGATATTTTTTATAAAATATTTTTTTTATTAAAGCTTGGCATCAACAACGAAACTAAAATTCTTTCTCAAATTTAAGTCAACTTGATAATTTTCATGTTAAAAAAAAAAAAAAAAAAAAAAAAGGAACGAAATCAAAATGTAAATTAAATTCGTTTCAATGCACTTTTTTTTTTGTCAATCACTTGCCTTTAATTACGAGCAATAAAAAAAAACAAACCCTGATATCATGATTTTTTAGCATTTTGTGGACTGAGTAAAAATAAAAATTCGCTTTTTTTAAGAAAATTTGTAAACATAAAACTAAAAGCCTTCATTTTTTTTTCGGCTTTATCTTATTTTTATGGAGGAGGAAAATTCTATTTTAGCAAAAAAAAAAAAAAAATTAAAAAAGTAATTAAAAAGTGGCATTAATTATCAAGTTTAGCTTTTTAGAAAATTTAACAAACGACCTCAACAATTTCAGGTGAGTTGTTTGTATTCTTTTTTGTTATTTTTTTTTTTTTAAGATTAACTTAAAAAATTGAAGGCTATTTCTCTTTGGTTGACAAAGGAGAGCTAGTTCTTGCTATTTCTTCGTTATGTTGATGCAAATTCACAAGTTGGAAAAAATAAAAACAATCACTAACCCGAAAACGGAAAAAAAAAGTAAAACGGTTTTAAAAGAAATAGTTTTGTCATCATGAATAAAGTTAAGAAGCTTATTACAAGAGCCAATGATACTTTTTGTATAGTTTGAAAAAATTCAAGACAACTGATATTACCTCTACAAAGCCTGTTGGCACAAAAGAACTCGTTAAGAACTTAGAATTGTAAGCATTCAACATCAGATATCAACGAAACAACGCCATATTGGATTTGTAGGAAAGCGACCGACTTTCCAAGAAAGATAATTCTTAGACTTTTCCGTAGCGATTACCTCCCTTAATTCTATTGCCAGCTCAAGAAAAAAGTAGCATTTCCATTTCCTTTCCTTAGCCTCAAGAAGAAAAATAGTGGTCATAAAAAATAAATATATATTTGTGTTAAAAAAATAAGGTCAGTTATTTCTGGGGTATGAAAACTGGCATTTAAAACATGAGTGTCCGATACAGTATAAAAAATCCCTTATATTTTCCCACCCATTTTAGCATTTTAGGTACCACCAGATTTTGAGCGAAAAACCTTAAAAACGCATTTAAAATAATTTAAACGTCTTCTTTTTAGTAAAACGTTGGTTCTATTTTAAATATAATACCGTAAATGGAAAGCTAATCTCTCTCTGTTAAAAAAACAACAAAAATAATGTTACGCATTTCACTAAGGCTTTAAAGACGTTTTAGAAATGTTCTTAGTTTCAAAGAAAATTAGTAAAATTAAAGATTGACAGATTTTTGGAAAAATGTTACTTAATCTACACTTAAAATATAGCGAAAAACACCTTTGAACAGAGCAAAGTATATTCTGTAAACAAGTTCAGAGGTCAAACAATAGCAAACATTTTCCAAAAATTGCCTCAGATTTAAATTAAATATAAAAGCCATAAATTGTCCAAATACAGAAACTGATTTCGTTTATGTTTAAAATAACCATTTTAAACCTTCAATAACCAATAAGGTTAGATTAGAATTTATTTTTATTCTATAAATAAAATTATTTTTTTACGAAACTTAGAATATATTTTTTTATTAATCGTAATATAAAAATAAAACGAAGTAATATTTTTATTCACTGCATTTATATTTTTCAACTATTTGGCATTTATTCTGTTTCTATTTATTCAACTATTTGATAACATTTCACTGCACCAGGTCCTTTAAATTATTTTAAGGAAATTTATTAAACAAAAGAAAGTGTTGCTATAAAAGAAAACAAACTTCAGAAAAATGATGAAGTCTCATTGAACAGATACAGTTTATGGATTGCCTCCTTTCTACTACCAATGTCATGAAATACTCTAGACCCCTCCAGACATCATATATAATTTTTTTCAACCTTGTACAGCCAATAGGGAGGTAATTCTGAAATTATTTCCTATTTGATCTCCCGTACAAAAAAAAAAAAAAAAAAAAACTCATTTGTAAAAACAAAAGTACGTTTTCGAATATATTTCTAGCATTAAACTTTACATTTTTTAGATTCTTCAAAGACATTTTTATTTAATAAAAAGATTTCTATTGTCACCAGTAACCGAGAGTATCACAGTGAAAAATAAATTTAAAAAAATATTTATTGTAGATAAATCGAAAAGAAAATGTGTTAAATTAATGCAAGCATCAGCTCTCAGCAATTTTTTTTTTACTTTTATTGAATTATTTTTGTAATATTTCAAGAGAAATTTTCAATATTTTCTGATTTGATATTGTAAAGATTTTCGACTTAAAAATAATTTCGTGGATCTTTCTTTATAAGACTATAAAGACTAAAAACAGCGAAATAAAGCAATTGTCATCACCCAATTTTAAAAAAAGTATTCACAAATTATCCCCACCAATGTGACAAATGTTTAATTTTTATACCACTATAATGATGACCCCATTGAACTGTCGAAATCCCACCTCTCCAAGGTTAATGGCACTGTAGAAATACAATGAAATCAACTGCCCCTTTAGTTTACAGACAGAGTCGATATCGTGATGATTTTTCTTCTGAGTTAAAGAGTAGGATCGGCGAATGAAGTTCAAATTTTGGTCTAATCTATCGCATGAATCAGTCACTTGTTCTTGATACTAAGCTATGGGCTAAAAAGCTGAGTACAAAATAGAAAAATCAACTTAAACGTTACGTACAAAGAACTTTGTAAAATAAAAAATAAAAAAATTGTAAATCAGCTTCTGTTTTAAATTTTATTACACTTATTGCTATTTACTCTCTTAATTGCGACGATGACAAATTAGTAATGCCGCTATCTATTACGTAACTGTTTTGAATTTTTTACAAACTATCATGAAACAAAAAAGGATATTTTGGCTTAAAATAAAGAGCGTTCATTTTTTTTCCTTCTCCTTAATGCATATTTTCCTTCAATTAAACTACGAACTTATGTCATTTTGTTTCACATGATTTTAATTATTAAAATAAAAGGGAAACGTATACAGTACAGCATTACCGTGATCAATTTCCCCCCTAATGTTGCGACATATTAAAAAGAGGGAGAAATGATAAAAATAATATTGTCAAATCTTTCGTTTGGGCACTTGTCTCGCTAGATTATTTGTGACCGAGTAGAGAGTTCAATCCTCATTGGGTGCCCCATACTTGCAGCCTTACGCCACATCTAAACTACGCTTAGTAAATCAGTTTTTACCCCCACTACCGTCCCCACAAAAACTGTACACATGTGACTTGGTTGGATCTTATAGAGAAAATGTGGCATTATGGTGCCTACTATAAGACTGTGCTGTGTAAAAGAGATGTTTTGGTGAAAGGGAAATTATTCGAACGGATAGGGCAGTGATTGTTTCTGGCTAAGTTAGTGCTCTCTTCCCATTTTGGGCCTCGTGCCATATTTAAACACTTTTCGTACGATAAATAACTGTTCAATTTTCGTGCTGTAATGTTTAGCAAATTCGCCCCCGTAGTTTTATTGTAGTAAGGTAAGACCTAACTGGATGTCCCACACATGTAACTTTGTACCAAATTAAGTTTAGTAAAACCCGCAGATGTGCCAAGTAGACATCATCTCTTTTTTTTTTTTTTTTTTTTTTTTACTTCAAGTGTAAAGATGAAATCGGAGATCAAAGTATATACCTATCGCTGAAATAAGATATTCTGATTAGCTGAACTTTGATAAAATAATTGTTTTCGCTTATATAAAAAGCAAGAAACGCGTGAAGTCTTTAGTTTCGAATTTAAGCAAAGAGATGGGACTCATATTCTCGACAGACGTTTCTCCGCGTAAAAAATATTCAAATGAGAAAGCTTTTGTCGATCAGAAAGAGGAGACTACCAAAGAGGATGAAAACATTGACTTTGGAAATTTTTCTAAAGGATTTCTAAGTAAAAATTCCTTATCAGCCGTCTTCCAAGATGAATCCACGTATATTTCGTTCAAAAAGGCTTCTGAAATGGAAACTTGCTCTGACTATACTTACGAAAAGGACAAAAACTGCCCATGTCCGGATGTATTCGTTAAACTGTTTACAAGCTATTTTACGCCGAGTCCATTGGTAAACAATGTCTCTGACTTTGAAAATGATTTGGAAGCGACCACTACTAAAGCAGATAAGCTGACCCAAGACATTGGGGAGAAATCGGAACATATTTTGAAAACTGAGACGTATAAAGAACGAGAGATATACGCTAATATTATATCGGATATTGCCTTCGAAACCGAGATGAAGACCGAAACGAATGGGTCATGGCAAGAGGTGTCCGGGGATATAAAGAGCGAAGAATTACCAGGATTCGCGTCGGAGGAAGACTATATTATGGGTTTAACTTTGTCTAAAACAGACTTTATGGAAGAATTGATTATCTCGAATTCGTTTTTGCCAGCAATGAAATTTGCTGTTCTTAAAACTGTTCATAATATCCTTCCAAATGATGCTTGGGATCAAATCTCGTTCGAAACGCTGAATATTGACAAACCAGTGAACTTTACTGCTATGACTGATCATTATAATACGCGTTTCTTTTACTATAAACCTTCGGATGAATTAACTTATCTCACTCCACAGCCGCAAAATGACATCTTTCCTCATTTAGAAGAGAGCGACATAATCGCCTGCCTCGGAACTACCTACTTTGATCTCCTTCTATAACGCAAGTTAATTGTCGTCTTTGAAATTTCGCTCAGAAATTTCTGCTTCGTGCCTCTTTAAAATCACTTAGTCATTAGGTGGGATATATTAATTCTTTAAGCGAGTAGCTTTTAGGATATCCTTACAATACAAATATATTAGGATGTAACAATTCCAAAACATATTTTGGAATTCCTACCTGCCGAAAGCAGACTTTCTGAAGAATCTAAAACTTATTCTGTTAAATTAAATTTCCAGGTACTGTTTTAATTTCTGCTTAACTCATGAACCAGTATGGCTAAGAACAAACTCAATCGTTTAAATCTGAAACTTTTCACGGATATATACAAATAGCAGAGTGACTGATAATTTTCCTCTAAGAAAAAAGACTGGATTCTTAAATTCAGTGAACTTTACGTCCCAAAATATCGTAAGATTACCTGAACACTAACTCAAGAGTAGGTATACTGAAAGAAAAGATTGAAGGCATAATATTTAAATCAGTTTGAACTCTATCATAATTAGTGCAATCTTTTGTTGGCCTGGCTTCATTTCTGGTGCAATTTTCATTTGCATTAAAACCTTTTTAAAGATCACATTGTAAGGTTAGATATAGACCGATTAGTTTTTGTGGGTAGAAGAATAATTCTACATTTACCCTAAGTGTAGATCCAAAATGAAGACGACAATATTTCAACTTAGCTCTACTATTTTTTTGTACAACTGTCACGCACCTCTTCAAGGATCGCATCAATTATGTACAAGTAACTTTTAGACTAAGAATCACTAGCACTTCCAAATACGTTCAAACAAGGAGAAATCCTGTTTTCTCAGTTCCTACCTTTTTGTATTCTCTTTGCAAAGATAATAAATATTAGGAAAATGTAATCTTCTCAGATTTTACTCATTTCGCATTTCTTTTAAGCCCCTACTTTCCTCTTGCTGCTAAAGATGTCCAAAGCACCACCACCACCCGTCAAATCTTTTATCACACACACACACACACACACTCCGCGCGCGACTAAAATGGTCTATCTATATCTCTGAGATGAGGTATTATGATTATTTCTATTATTCGGACTGTTATCCTCATCTTCATTGCCATA